AAGATACAGGAGATTCATTTTTAAAATGTCATCTGATTATATATAGTTCACTGCACTCAAGGGATTAGAAATTCGTGAGCGCACATGGTCAATTTTAACAGATACCTCAGGCACTACTGGAAAAGTCAAAAATACAATACTCTTTAATTCAGACTTCTGACCAAATGGAACATTATATTGCATAGTATAATTTAAAGAATGAGTGAGGGGCAGACTAGTCAGGTAAACAGGGTCTTCTGATGATAGCACTCTGCATCTACCCAGCCTGACCTAGCTGTGGCACTATTTTCTTCAAATGAACTTTTTTCTAAGGGGTTAAAATATTAGCTTCAGTTGCTATGAGCTATTTCTGGTCAGCTCCCAAAACTTTAATAACTTTTCACTCCAGGTGATAAAGATGAAAACATAAACAACTGCTGTTCCTGAATAAGTGACATAAGACATGGGTCCCTTTCTCAGAAAGATAAATTTCACATTATTGCAATAAACAGCATAAGTGTGCTGTTCATGCAAAATTCTGGTGAAATTCCTTGTCTGAAAACTGTGACAGCTTCCAATTTAAAGTTGCTAATAAAGAATGATGAGAGACTTGCCCATTAAATCAGCCTTAAATAAATACGTGAAGATACAACTAAACCTCAACCTTGCTAACCACTGTTTTTTCTTTCTGGAAGAAAGATCAAGGGTCTTCATCTTTGATGAAGTACTGAAATGTTGCCAGATTATGTCTAGGCATTAGAGAGTTTCTCCATTCATCCTGCTCTGCCCTTGGAGAACCTTTTCTGGGTAAACGTAAAGTTGTTAAGTGTTTTTCGTTTGATTATTTTCTTCCCCACTTTTTATTTTCTACTCTTCCTTCTCCCTGGGCCTCCAGCAGGAAAGAGGACATCAGACTTGAACTGACCTCCGTGTCTCTTGTCTTCTGTTGGAGCTTTTGTCTCTGTACTCTGTGGAACGGTTTCCCAACCAGGGAGAGCAGCTCCCCATCACTGTCAATTGGATAAAACAACTAATGCTAAGAACGCCATGTGTCCTCTGATTGGTCCTTTCACACAGTATCCTAGACTCATTTTTTGAGTGCAGTACCTTTGGGAAGCTCTTGAGATTTATGAGATCCATTTTTATGATATATGTAGTGTTCTGAATTCTCTCTTTCCTGAGGAGTTAGTGCTTTTGTTCACCTTGGCCTTTCTCTTCAATGCTTGGAGATCCCTGGGGATCAGATCTCACTGCAGAAAGCAGCTTGAGGGGACTTCCTCTGCTGTTAGGTCAGTAGGAGTGCTTCCTTCTGAGGGGAAACAGTGTGGGTGGTGCGTGCATTTTGAGGGGCTTCTCCTTGCGGTAAGAGGAGAGGGAGGTGGTTGTCAACTTGGGGCCCTGATATCCACCTTAGAAGCTTTAGCTTTCCTCAGACATTCTGTTTAGTATTTTGTTGTGTTATTTTCAAGAAAACAAGTCTTTACAAATTTTGGACCTGGTCACAAACATGAGGATGTATTCTGTACAGAATAAGCAGCCTGGGCACCCATCTGTGTTCAGTCTCACTGCTCACCTCAGTCTCTGCCTCGGGGGCCAACTCTAAGTCCAGAAAACCATCTCCACCACAGCTGTAAGTAGGCTGCCTCCCACATCCACACAGGCTCTCATGGCTGACCTTCACTTCTCACTTTGTGGCACTCATCGCATGCTACCAGAACATTCCATCTTCTAGAAAACTGTCAAATGTCCCCCCTCCCCCCCCCCCCCCCCACTGATGATCCCCTCTTTTCCCTGCCCATCCACCGCCTAACTGCTGTGGTTTATTTCTTTTTAAGTTTTTATACTTTTGTTTCAGTGGGGTCTTAGGAAAGGTGGAAAATCCTCCTAAACTGGGAGATAAAACATTACATAAATCATGTTTGATGGTCAAATAAGTTTAGGAAACCCAAGTTAACTTTATTTTTAAGATTTCTTTTTCTATCCAGATGACTTAACACAGAAAATAGATACATTGCTCACAGTTTTTAAAGGATTCTAAATATTGAAGTCAAAGATGTTAAAAAAAATCTACTGATCGAAGAAGTTGGGGATAGACAGTGAGTTAAATTGTGATGGTTTATAAGCTATTTTCCTTTACTTTTATTATCATGTCCTTAAGACAAACTATATGTTAAGGTTGAAAATTTCTCCTGACTTAGAAAACCTACAATACATAATAAGAAGAGTTTATTCTGGGAGTTAAGAAATTAAAATTCCAATCCTGTCTTTTTAACTAATACTCCAGAAAGTGAGCAAGTTGCTTAACCCCACTGGAATCCTGGCTCTCCGTCTCTAAAATAAAAAAGCGGTGTGGGCCAATTTAGGAAATATGTGTTGAACCCATCCATGGTCTAGAATGTATTAGTTGCTTTGGGGACAAAATGAAGGGTTTCTCTAGCCCTTCCAAGAGTTAATCTGCCTGTTTTATGGGTGGTAAACTGAGACCAGAGGGATGCTTGTGAACTTAAGTGCAGGGCAGGAGACAAGTTGGGTTGGATAAGGTCTGAGAACTCTATGAGCTTAAGATGCTATGGCTTGGGTATTAATACTTTCTCAAGCATATGGGCCTGAACAGGGCCATCCTATGTATCTTGAGCTGAGATGGATTCACTGCAGGGTGGTGCCTGCCAAGAAGTGTTAGTGGCACTTACACTCAGGGGTTCAGACTGGTACAGAGGGTGAGTGGGCGTCAAACTGGAGTTACACAGGTGGGTAAAAGGAATAGTGGGAACTGTCTTACTTCCGAAGAGACGTAAACACCAAAAGCTATTAAGAACTGAGCCCTAAGCCAGGGTTTGCATTTCCCTGGGGATTGATCAAGTATCTGCACTCATCTTTCATCCACACTCATCTTTGTAACTTCCATTTGGCTCCCATGGCATGCACACAGAATCAGAGAGAAGAGGGAGAAGAGAAAGCATCCTTGAACTCCTTCAGGACTTAACTGACAACAAATTGAATATTAAACGCACAAGAGCAAACAAGTCCTCTCAGTCCTTCAACCACATCTTTCAAGCTCTGTTTCTGAGAATAGAAAATTCTAAGCTCAATTTGAGTGTCATTGTAAACTCCTCTCTATGCCAGATGATTTTATCTGCATATTTATATCCAAAGTACAAACATCTTAAAATGTTTACACTGAGTAGTAATGGGAGTCATGTGTCAAATACAATGGGAGGAAAGAGCAAAGCTTTCTTCAGAACTGAAGCTTGAAGATATACAATATCTGTGGAAAATCTGGCTTACAAATTAAAATGCATTGTTTGCCAAGCCCATATAATTATAGAGAACATGCATTTTTACCCTTTGCATACAACATCCAAAGTCTCATTTTTGGGTTTTTGGGTTTGGTTTTGCTCTGCAGTTGTGGCCCGAGGCCCTGGAAGTCTCGTGGCTCCACACACAGGGTCTCAAGGCGCACGCCACACGCTTTCCTGTCATTTGCAGTCTCTACTTCCTTTAATCTCCCACTGCCGGGGAGAGGCAGTGAAGGATCCATCTACCACATCCCCAAGCAGAGGAACAAAAGCAGTGAAGACAGCCCTCCTCTGGGTTCTGGGGGTTTCCACACAACAACTTCCCCTGTGAACACTGTGAAGACCAAGAAGAGTGCGGAAGACCAGGGACGGCTCCTTGACAATTCTACTGGGGGAGAGTCCTGTGAACTGATCCCTAAGTACAAGCCTGTGTCAACAGCCTCTCTTGAGCTTCTAGCTGCTAGTCATTCAAGCACAACCAGCCAGAAAAGCTCTCTAGAGGACACCAGATAGAGACTTCACGCAGTCCACAGTTGCCTGCCCAAACAGAATCCACTGAGGGTTAATGCTGAAGGGACTCACAAAGACGGCTATGGACGAACACCAACTTCTTTGAAGAAACATGTCCTGGTTAGATCATCACGGTAAATTCAGAACTCTGAGGTGCTGCCCAGCTCTTCGTTTTTGAGAGCCAAGATTCCCCTACACCAACCCCTCACTCCTGGTCAGTCAGCCTCATGCGTCAGCCCCTCAAGTGGACTCATGTCCTGATGAACACAGGCACCCAAGGCCCCCGCCCTCTCAGCACCTACTCCACACGGCGCTCTTTGGATTAATGATGGCTACACTGACTATTCACTAGCACTTTTTGTTTTAAAACTCGGAGAAGTTGACATTGCCTCACTCCTTCCTTTTGTTTTTTTTCTGTCACTTGGCAGAGAGACTGCTTTGTCTTATCTTACTTAGGTAGATCTGTTTGCTCCTTATAGCTGCAGGAAAGAGAGTCCTATGGATTGTTTTAAAAACACACATTCTACTTTTTGAAGAAGTTAGTACTTTGTCAGAGGCAATTTTTATATCTTTATTCTCAATTTGATTCCAGACGTGTACCAGCCAGGCCCACTGAAAATGCAGTTTCTCTCATTATCTCTTGAACACTCCACATCTAAAGTCTAGGAACACTATGCCACCAGGGAAGCCCTAATAATGAAGTCGCTCCGTTGTGTCCGACTCTTTGAAACCCCACGGACTGTAGCCTACCAGGTTCCTCTGTCCATGGGATTTCCCAGGCAAGAGTACTGGAGTGGGTTGCCATTTCCTTCTCCAGGGAATCTTCCCGACCCAGGGATCGAACCCGGCTCTCCTGCATTGCAGGCAGATGCTTTACCATCTGACCCTATGAGGAAGTGACAAATCTTGAAGAGGAAAACTAAAAAAAAAAAAAGCAATTTGTAGGGTTGAACAAAAAAATAGACAGACATCTTGTACATTGGTTTTTACTTTTATACTAAATTTTCACTTCCACATCACCATTTAAAAATAGAACCTAATTAAAAATAAAAGAACCAACCAATAACATATTTAGAATTGTAAACTTTCCTTTCACTCAGAATGTTTAGCTTCTTGATACAGTCTGCATCTCACCCATAAGTTCTGAGAAAAAACATTGAGATGTATGATTCTTTAAGTGACAATATATTAACTGAGGATTGAAACACATCTTACCTGTAAATATGTTTCCAAACCTTGTCGTCGTTGTTCTAAGACTTTTGGGACCCAGTTCCGAACATGTTTAGAAGGAATTTCTGGAGTTTTAATGCATTTCTTAAGCTATAAAGACAGAAATGAAAACAAACACAGAAAATGCCTTTTGATTATAAAGACATTATTTGAGGGAAAAGCCAATAAAAGAAAGTGAACCACTGTGATCTCCAATAAAAAGAAAGTAAAATATATACACACTGAAATTTCGTCAACAATTCTTTCTTTAGCTTTCCTAAATATTCATGTTTCAGAACACGAGTTCTCTGTTTTAGTAGTTGTTGTTATTGTTATACATCATCTGGTATAACAGATTGGATTTTTTTTTCTGAAAAATTAAAGAGTTCAATATGTGAATTATAAAGAAAGTATAGAAGTTTATAATTTACAAAATCAATGAATACAATAACATTATGGTTGGAAGAAGTACATTTCTGATGAAAGGTCTTTCTACATATTGTTCACAGAAAAAGGCAAAACAAAATGCAACAGCCAATAATCATCATTCCTGGAATGCCATATGAACTAGACCACATCATATGGAGAGTTTCTTAAAAGTTCTATAATAAAAAGAACTAAAAAACAAAAAACAAAAAAGACTGATCCTTCCAATATTCCTAAGCATTAGGTCTAAATTTTGTTCATGAAAACTGAATGATGGTTCTCAGCTAAAGGGTTCTCTGCCCTTTCTGGACAGCAGTTTTAAGGGACTACATAAGTAAAGGAAAATTCTTTTGGAAGTTGAGTTAGAGCTGCCTATTGCAGGTTCTTCCTACCACATCCTAAACCTGTGAATATTACCTTATAGGGCCAGCTACTACTGTGTATATCTGATTACATGATATTACCATGGAGAGATTATCCTAGATTATACAGGTGGGCTCAATGTAATCATAAGGCTCCTGATAAGAGGGAGGCAGGAGGACCAGAATCAGAGAATGGAAGATGATACAGGACTGGCTTAGGTGACAAAGTAAAGGTCATGAGCCCAGGTGACCTCTGGAAGCTGACAAGGGAAAGGAATCAATTATCTCCTACAACCCATTCATATCTTAATTTTAGCTCAATGAAACTCAATTTGGATCTCTGACCTTGAGAGGCATAAGATAATAAATTTGTGTTGTTTTAAGTCACTAAGTTTATGCTAACTTCTTACAGCAGCAATGCATAAAAAACTAACACACTGCCTCTAAAGTGGAAATATTTAAATGCTCTCATTTAAAAACTTGGAAATCCTACTGAACTGCTCCTTTACATGAGAAGAAATGGCATAATGACCTCTAAGAAAATATTCATACACACAACTAAACCCCAGGATCTAAAACTGCAATAAAAATTTTTTCTCATTCATAAGCATATATTCACCACTAAGCAGTCTAGGCTGAAAGAAGGAGTCTTGTGCATTTCAAAGATCAGTGCTTCTGGTTCAAGATGTTAGGCTGAGCCTGTGTTTGCTCCCTCCATTCACACCTGAAGTGCTGCTAACATAGGGTAAAAGTGCTAGCTGCAAACCCAAATCTATCCTCCTTCTCTTGCTCATCAAACTCCTAAATTATTGGAAATAATGCTGTATTCAGCTAAATTCAGCTTTAATTTCCCACATTCCCTTGCAAAGAGTGGGGGCCAAAGGTAATCAGAAGTCATAAAAAAAAGTATTCCCTAAATACTAAGTGCACCTAAATACATCCCTAAATACTCACTTGCACCATCTGTCCTATTTCCCCTTAACCTTTTCCACCCTAGAATGTGACTGTGATGGCTGGAGCTGCCATGACCATCTGCCACCATGAGGTGAGAGTTCTGAAGATGTCCAGATGACTGAGCAGAAAAAATAGAGTCAGTACCTGAGTACCTCCTGGAGCTGCCACAACAGCCTGACTTGTTTTTTAAGACAAAAAAAAAAAAAAAGTCCCCCCCCACCCCCGCTCCTATTTTAAAGTTACTGGCATGTGGACTTTCTGTTTCATAGACCTGAATTTAACCCTGGTAGACATTAAAAAAAGAATGCCAAAGGAAATAGGACTCACAACAACACAGAGAACAGGGCAAGGAGGAAGGAGCCATCACCAAGCAAGAGATTAACAGCTTTGTAAAAGATAGAAAGCAGGAGCATGATGCTAAAGAAAGGACTGGAGCAGAGGAAGCCCCAGCCCAGACCTCCTCAGGAAGTAGACTGCAAAGGGTCTGGAGGTCAGTCTTCTCAGAAGCCTGAGAGGCTGTGTGCTCAGGACTGTCATTAAGAGGAGGAGGGAATAAGAAGCGGGACTGACTATGTCTTAGCCTGTGCCAAAGACCACAGAGATAAATAGCAGCCCAGTGCTATCCCTAAGCATGCACACCCCTATTCTATAAAAAGGGGTCCGCGTCAGAGAGAACATACTTGTGGACACAGCGGGGGAAGGAGAGGGTAGGATGAACTGAGAGAGTAGCACTGAAACATATATATGACCATATGTAAAACAGATAGCCAGTAGGAATTTGCTATATAACAGAAGGAGTTCAGACTGGTGCTCTGCCATGACCTAGAGGGGTGGGGTGGGTTGGGGGTGGGTGGGAGATTCAGGAGGGAGGGGACATATGTACACTTATGGCTGATTCACATTGTTGTGCAGCAGAAAGCAACATAACATTGTAAAGTGATTATCCTCCAATGAGGAAAAAAAAAAGAGGGTCAGCATTCCTAAGGAAATTTCATGAAATGTTTAGGTTGAAGTAGGGTGTTTGCCATTCTGGTCATTCTGGTTTTCATGAGGTTCCCAGCCTAGAATCTGCCTCTCTCCCCTCATTCTCTATAATGAAGCCCTTCAGTTGACAAACACCCTACAGAGGGACCAGACTTATGCATTCAAAGTGAAGGAAGCAGTGAAAAATACCTAGAATAATTCATCTAACTGGATGGACAATCAAGGATTGCTTTCATAGGAAAGCGAGCACTACAAAGGAGAGAGGATAAGAAAAACAAAGGGAGCAACTAATTCCAAAAGGAACATAAATCAAATAATAAAGAGATCTTTAAAAATTCTCTTTAGTATCTGCAGAGAGATTTGAGAAGATCATGCTTCTATTAAACAGGAACAGTTGCTATGAAAAGGAAATAATCAGAGAAGAAAGATTTCAGAAATTAAAGAACATGACAGAGAAATTAATAAATTAAAAGAGGCAGAATATAAAATCATGGAAGTCCCTCAAAGTATAGAATAAACAAAATGAGAGAAAAGGTAGGTGAAAAGATAAAAACACATATAGGATTAATCCAGGGGATTTAACATGAAAGTAATAAAGAATAAAAGACAGTTTCAAAGAAAAAAGTTTTTCTATGACCTAATATATGCCTTCAGATTAAGAACCCACTGCCAGCATAATGCATAAAAAGAATCTACATTTACTGACATTCATCTGTTGAGATTTCAGAATATCAAGGAAAAAGAGAAGACAGAGAAAAACATTAGTTGGCAAGCAAAGAAAGCCGAGCCACACTGGCAACTGGCTTGTCATCAGCAATAATGAATGCTAGAGCAATGCTTCAGAGATCTAATCTGATATACATTTCTATAACTAGCATATCATCAATAAAGTGTGAGAGAAGGTTTACCTGTCCTTCCTTCTTCACACAGAAGTAAACATGTAATTCCAGAAAACTGACAAATGAAAGCAAGGAAGAGGAAAACTGGTGTCAGGACTCAGAACTCTGTGCCATCATCATGGAGAGGGGAAGTCCAAGGGCAGTTGTGCATAGAAGGCCTGAGAACTATCTGCGCAGTTTAGAGCAGGAGGTCAGAGCACGTGGAGAAGGCAGCTGCCCAGAAGAAGGCTGACTCCATGCAACAGGCAGCATGGGTAAGATGGACAAATTCAAGATTTGTTAAAGTACATTATTCTTTGGTCTATCAGAAAAAAATAGAATAAAAGTAAGTACCAGGGAAGACAAAGAGGCCTTAAAGAAGGTCATGAAACAGAAGACAGTAAGCTTCTCCTCTGTTTTAGAGACACTCCTGCCTTTGTGGGGCTTCCCGGAAAGACAAAAAAACAAGAAATGAGTTAATAAGACAGGGTGAAGGCAGACAGTAACAGACGGTGTGTGCACTGGGGGGGAAGGGCCTGTGTTATGAGAATGTGTGAGGAACCATCTGAATCATGCTGGGAGGCAGCCACCAGGTAAGCGGCTGGAGAAGGAACGTTCCAGCGGAGGCAGAGCAGTGGAAAGGGAGGGCCGAGCCTGTTGTTCAAAAAGCTGAGCCAGAGAGGCAGCAGTATCAGACAGTGTGGGGCCTTGGAGGCGACGGTGGGAACTGGACTGTCATTTCACATGCAACACACAGTTTTAAACACGGGAATGACTTGATACAATTTTTACTTTAGAGAGGTTATGCTAGATTCTACGAGCAAGGTGGACCGCAGGGGGTGGAATCACAGCAGGCAGATCAGTCAGCAGCCCCTGAGGAAGTCCAGGCAAGAAGGACGGGGATGTGGGCGACGGTCCTGGCAGTGGGCCGGGGGGAAGCTGAAGGCTGCGACAGGACGTGAAAAGTGGAGGTGGTTAGAACGACTCCAGGACCTTGACGCTTTTGGGTTTCTGACCTCATCTGGCAGCATCCTGTTTGCTAAAAGGTGGTAGAATGCCAGGTTTAGAGTAGGTGGCAGAGAACACTACTTACCTCCTCAAAGCGAGGCTCTGTAGAACCCTGAAGTTCTATAGAACAGAACTCCTGATTTTCAGCTGAGGGCATGACTGCCCAGAATAAAGAACACATCTCCCAGTCTCCCTAGAAGCTATGTGGAGCTGAATGACTGAATTCTGCACAAAGGCAGGTGACGTTTGTGCAACTTTCAGGAAGTATTCTTTTTTTTTTTTTAAGTAAAAAAGCTTTTAAAAAAGAAATTTATTTATTTATGTGTTTTTGGCTGTGGTGCGTCTTGGGCTGCGTCTGTGCTGCCTGGACTTTTCTCTAGTTGCGGTGAGCAGGGCCTACTCTCTAGCTGTGATACACAGGTTTCTCATTGAGGCAGCTTCTCTTGTGGCGGAGCATGGGCTATAGATCGCACAGGCTTCAGGAACTGCACTTCCCAGG